TGTATGAGTTCTATGATATGCAAGTCTTTGACTTTCAGGTACTTACAATTTTGTAATCTTTAAAATGATGGGGTTGACTACTAGGTCTATATCCCAAAGAGAGCATTAAAAAGTGAAAAGGGCCTCCATGTACAAAAAGATTTATAGCAGCTAATTTTGTGGTGGCAATTGAGATGCCCATCAATCGGTGAATGGCCAAACAAGTTGTGGTATATGAATGTAACTATTGTGCTATAAGAAATGAGAAGCAGGTGTGTTTCAGAAGAACCTGCAAAAGATTACATGCACTGATGCAAAGTGAAATGAGCAGAACCAGAACAGCGTACATAGTAACAGCAACATTGTGTGATGATCAACTATGATTAACTTAGCTCTTCTCAGCAATACAGTGATCCAAGACAAGTCCAAGACTCAAGATGGAAAATGCTATCCACATCCAGAAAAAGAACTGATGGAGTCTGAATGCAGATCAAAGCATACTATTTTTCACTTTAGTTTTTTTTCATGTTTTTTCCCTTTTGTTCTATTTCTTGTTTCACAACATGACTAATATGGAAATATGTTTTACTTGATCACACATATATAACCTATATCAAATTGCATATCATCTTGGGGTGGGGAGGAGAGGAAGAAAGGGAGAAAATTTGAAACTCAAAATTTTATATAAAAATAAATGTTAAAAATTGTCCTGACATGTAACTGGAAAAAAATAAAATACTATTTAAAAGAAAAAAGAAAATAATGGGATTGGGCTGGATAGATGATCCTGGAGGTTCTTTCTAGCTCTTTAGCTTCTAAGCTATGAAAAATTTTCTATGTGGGGTGAAAGGAAATACAGACATGAAACTGCTAAATACCAATACAAATCAGTATATGACTGAGTGCCAAGTGAGTAACATAGGCAGGAAAGGTTATAGGAGTTCAGAAGACAGGATATCATATGTGAGCTGATACGGGTTGCAAAGTTTTCAGGGTATTTACACTTCAGAAATTGGCAAATGCTACAGATCAGGGCTCAGTTTATTGTTTTATTAATTGCCTATGCTTAAGAAAGTGACAGAGAAAATGCTAATGCAGTTTAAACTTTTAAATGTGTTGCACATGTGTTCTTTTCTTTCCAGTGAGATGGTTATTCAGCATTTACCAGCACACTCCTGGCTGAGGCAGTTGCAGAAGGATCCCTGGAGAAGATAATACTTGTGCTGGACCTTGGAGGAGGAGAAGATTTGGACCGATAGATGAAATAGGGAAGGACATTCTAGATCCAGGAGCAGTTTTGGAGGCAGTAATAAGCCTGGCATTTGTTGATACCATAAGCAAACTAGGAGAGCAACGAATAGTTTACCTGTCAGATTTATGGAGAAGGGAAGAATTTATGACCAAACAAGAGATAGAGAACATTATGAAATGCAAAATGGATGATTTTGATTACATTAAATTGAGAAGTTTTTGCATAAAGCCAATGCAACCAAGATTAGAGGGGAAGCTGGGAAACAATTTTTATAGCCAGTGTCTCTATAAAGACCTCATTTCTAAAATGTGTGGAGAACTGAGTCAAATTTATAAGAATACAAGTCATTCCTAACTGGTAAATGGTCAAAGGATATGAACAGGCAGTTTTCAGATGAAGAAATTAAAGCTATCTATAGTCATGTAAAAATGCTCTAAATCATTATTGATTAGAGAAGGGCAAATCATAACAACTCTGAGGTACCACATCAAACCTATCAGATTGGCTAACATGACAAAACAGGAAAATGATAAATGTTGGAGAAGATGTGGGAAAATTGGAACACTAATGCATTGTTGGTGGAGTTGTGAACTGATCCAACCATTCTGGAGAGCAATTTGGAACAATGCCCAAAGGGCTATAAAAATGTGCATACCCTTTGACCCAGCAATACCAGTTTTAGGTCTGTATCTCAAAGAGATCATAAAAATGGGAAAAGGACCCACATGTACAAAAATATTTATAGCAGCTTTTTTTGTGGTGGCAAAGAATTGGAAATTGAGGGGATGCCCATCAATTGGGGGATGCCCATCAATTGGGGAATAGCTGAACAAGTTGTGGTATATGAATGTAATGGAAAACTATTGTGCTGTAAGAAATGGTGAGCAAGGGGACTTCAGAAAAACTTAGAAAGACTTATATCACCTGATACTGAGCGAAGTGAGCAGAACCAGGAGAACATTATGCATAGTAACAGCCACATTCTGTGATGATCAACTGAGATAGACTTAGCTCTTCTCAGCAATACAATGATTCAAGACAATTCCAAAAGACTCATGATAGAAAATGCTATCCACATCCAGAGAAAGAACTTTGGAGTCTGAATGCAGATGGAAGGATACTATTTGCTCTTTTGTTGTTGTTGTTGTTTTGTTTCTTCTTTCTCATGTTTCCTCCCATTGGTTCTAATTATTCTTTACAACATGACTAATTTGAAAATATGTTTAATATGAATGTATATGTAGAACCTATATCAGATTGCATGCCATCTTGGGGAGGGGGAAGGGAAGAGAGGGGGAGAAAATTTAAAACTCAAAATCTTATGAAAGTGAATGTTGAAAATTAAAAATAAATAATTTAAATAAAAAAATAAGTCTGGAATTTTAAGAGGAAGAAGGCCTTACTGGTAGAAGACTTTGGCTCACACGGCAGATTAATGGGAGAAGATTAATTAATCAATCTGGAAATATTGAAAAGAATGAGTTAGAGGTTATGTTGTCTAGCATCCCTCCCAAACCGAATGGAAAAGGCAGAAATTCCATTCCATTCAACAAGTGCTGAATCCACCATACAACATTCTGGACAGGCGTGTAAAACACACAGAATTAAGGTTGGACAATTGCAAATACGTGATGAAAAGGCTTACATACAAGACTGAGAATGAATTTTCATGTTTTATGTCTGTCTGAGGCAGAATGGTTTAAAGAGCCCTGAATTGCCCCTGTGAGGAGATCATGGGTGAGGTAGACTAAGATTACTAGCTGGGCCATATTGGGCAAGCCATTTCCCTCTCTTGGTCTCAGTTTCCTCATCTGGAAAATAACTAGATAGTCTCTTCCATTCCTCCTAGCTCCTTTATTCCAATTTTTCCTTTCCCCTGGCAAGAAAGCACTTGTGTGAGGTAGTGGAAAATGTGTTGTATTCAGAGGCAGAGGAAATGAGTCAAATTCTTACTCTGCTACATAATGCCTCCAAGAAATCCCTTCCCATCTTTGGGTTTCAGTGTCCTTATCTGTAAAATGAGAGTGTACCTAGCCAGTCCAGCTCTAAACCCATCTGGGGCTCTCCCTTGACATCGCCCTCATTGAACACATTGTTCTACCAGGCTCTTAGACCTGCTCCTTGAGAGCAGGGACTCTCTGCTGCGTGTCCCCTTTGCCCAGCCCTGTGTCTCTGCGGCTCACTGGGTCTGACCCTGGATCACCTCAGACTCCGCTTCCGGAGATTGGAGGCAGATGATGAAACACAAATCATATACGGTCTCCAATCCGATACACGTTAGTCTATCCTCCACACAATTGCCAAAGGGATATTCCTAAGGTGCACATCCGACTATGGTATCTCCCATAATAATAAACTCCACAACTCCAGTGGCTCCCTATTACCTCTGGGATCAAATATAAGCCCCTCTATTTGGCATTTGCTGCTTGTTCCCACCTGGCTCCATCCTGCCTTTTTTGCCTTATTGTACAAACTAGCTTTCTTGCCGTTCTTCACATGACATTGCATCTCCCCAATTTTCACAGGCTAACTCCCATGCCTGGAACGCACTGCTTCCTTTAGTCTCTTGGAATCCCTGGTTTCACTCAAGATGGTGGAGAACCAACTTCTGCTTGAAGCCCTTCCTGATTCCCTCATTGCTTGTGCCTTTCTGCCTGCCAAGGCTAACTTGTATCTGTTCTGCACATGCTTATGTATGTATGTATGTATGTATGTCGGTATGTATGTATGTATGTATCTATCTATCTATCTATCTATGCGCATGTTGTCCTGAACCACCTTAGAATATAAGCTCCTTGAGGGCAGGGACAGCTTTGATGTTTGTATTTGTATCCCAGGACCTGGCACAGTGTCATGTAGTAAGTGCTTAATAAATGCTTGTTTGGTTAATGGATTGACCTTTGAAAGCTGGAACATAAAGTTTGGCAGCACAGTCTTAGGCACCATAGCAGGTGCCTAATAAGTGCTTGTTCTGTCTTGACTTCTTTTATGTCATAGCCCCCTGTAGTCTGGTAAAGCCTATGGACCCTTTCTGAAGAATGGTTTTTAATTCCTAAATAAAACGCATGGGTGATTATTACAAGGGAACCCAATTATCTTGAAACGCAGTTATCAAAGAACTTAGTGAAGAACTTCCGCTGTAAAATACAATGTTCAGAGACAATTCCAAAAGGATCGTGATGGAAAAATTCTATCCACATTCAGAGAAAGAACTATGGAGTCTCAATACAGATCAAAGCAGACTATTTTCGATTTTTTTTTCTTTCTTGTGGTTTTTCCCATTTGTTCTGATTCTTCTTTCACAACATGCCTCATGTGGAAATGTTTAACATGATTGTACATGTATAACCTATATCAAGACTGCTTGCTGTCTTGGGGAGGGGTGAAGGGAGGGAGGGAGAAAAATTTGGAATTCAAAATTTTACAAAAATGAATGCTGGAAACTACATGTAAGTGGCAAAAATAAAATACTATTAACTGGGGGTTAAAAAAAAACAAAAAAACAAGAACCTCCGCAGTAAATAAAACCAGAGAGCTGTTAGCTCCCAGGTCGGTGGTTCGTGAGCAGGGCGAACCGGGGCCGCGCTCCCTCCCGGGACACGGCGGCCACGCCACCGCCGGTTTCCGTCCCGGCAGAAAGAACGGCGTGCAACTTAGCAAGCGGAAGCGACGGCGCCCGAGTCACGTGGTGGCAGGAGCAGGAACGTGGCAGAGGGCGGGCCGGAGACCGAACGTGCAGCGTCTTGGGCTCGGCTGAATGGGTGGCCGCGTCGGTATGGGTGCGCTGCGGGGCTTTGCTGGAGCCGCGACCAGTGCTTGCCTGTCCCCGGTAGCGCGCGGAGCTGCTGGGTGGTGAGGAAAGCGGCTGCAAGAAAGAAGAGCAGCGGCAGCAGCAGCAGCGGCAGCAGCAGGAGGAGAAAAGCGGGCGGGAGGTGGCCAGAGTGGGGTCTTCGGAGACTGTAGCTGTTGCCCTTGGGCCAGTCTCTCCAAAGCCGGGGAATCATGGCATCTCTGGTCCACACAGTCCTGGAGAATGGGCGCATAGCTGCCGGGCTCCTGCTCAACCTGCTGGTCTCCATCTGCATTGTTTTTCTTAACAAATGGATCTATGTGCACTACGGCTTCCCCAACATGAGTCTGACCCTGGTGCACTTCGTGGTGACTGGGCTGGGCTTGTACATCTGTCAGAAACTGAACATTTTTGCCCCTAAAAGTCTGCAGCCCTCCAAGCTGCTGTTCCTGGCCCTCAGCTTCTGTGGGTTTGTGGTCTTCACCAACCTCTCTCTCCAAAACAACACCATAGGCACCTATCAGTTGGCCAAGGCCATGACCACCCCTGTGATCATAGTCATCCAGACCCTGTTCTACAAGAAAACCTTCTCCGCCAAAATCCAACTCACTCTGGTGAGTAGCTCCAGCTCCAGCTTTTGGTGGCTGGAGTGACTCTCCCAGCTGCACTTCCTTTATCAGCGCCCCGAGAATTGGCTTCCTTGGGAACTGAGAAATTCATGTTTCGATCTTGTGTCAGTTTATGTGTCTTCACTTTGCCAGGCCCCCTCACTGAGTGGCAGGGGTTTGAGCTGCTCAGTGGTTAGCTGGGGGAAGAACCTGTTAGGGGCTGCCCAGAGCTTTACGATAGCAAAGAAACATCCCCTACGGGAATCAATGTGTGTGATTTTGATGTGTAGGACCTCATAGCATCCTGTTTGCATGGTGACATGCCATTAGGGTCCCTGGACCTTGGAATCCATGGTGACCCAGTGGAATATTCATCTTGGACTTTTGAGAATTTGCAGAATTGTCTGTTTGTACCTTATAGTGGCCACCCTACCTTTGACCATTGTTAAAAAAAAAATGTTTTCAGTAATGCCTTGTCTTTCTAATTTATGTTAAAAAAATGTGGGTAGCATATTTTAATCTAAAGGAGTAGGATGATCAATATGGACATTTTTTTAAAAACTGAATTATTTAAATAGGTACTAAATTTTCTATGTATGAGCATTAATAGACATGCATTTAAAATCTCATAAGACTATTAAAAAAACTAAACTTGAATCTCTGATTTTGTCTAATTAATATTTACATCTTTTTCTTTGCAGATACCCATAACTCTAGGTGTCATCCTAAATTCTTACTACGATGTGAAGTTTAATTTTCTTGGAATGTTGTTTGCTGCTCTCGGGGTGGTAGTTACATCCCTTTATCAAGTGGTTGGTAATTTTTTTCTTTTGTGCCCTTTTAGCAGACTCTAATTTTTGAAGCTATAAGCTCCAAGGAGAGGATACCGATTAGACTATTGGAAAGAAAATCTAATTTTCAGTTTTGTTGGATGCAAAGTGAGCAACGGAAAAGAGGCAGAGAAACATGGCTGGAAAGGTTCCATAGCTAGGAATGCTGGTTCAACTCTAACGTTATGAAGGAGCATGCATTTGTATGTATCGTGAAATATAAAGAAATTTCAAAGTAGTAACCACATTCCTAAATCATGTTACTATTAAAACCTGTAGACTGACTTCACTTTCTAATAATCTAGGTAACATATATTAATACAAACTCTGTAAGTAAAAAAATTACTTTTTATCTGCATGGCATACTGCATAGTAATGGTAGGCACTCAGTAAATATTGTCACTTGATACATTTTGGGCAGGGGTGTGTTCTGTGAAATAGAAGTCTCTCTGTACTAAAAACTCTGGCAGTGGAATTTTTGAGGGTGTCACCCTAAGGGATCAGATTCAAAATCTGTAACATTTAAATGATTGTTTCAAGTCTTACTTCTGAGAAAAATCTACGGATTTAAAATGAACACATTATCAATTTTTTGAGAGGCAGGCACCATGTAGTAGTGGATAGTGATTCACCCTCACAGGTGGAATAACCTGGGCTCAAGTCCCTTCTCTAACAGCTCTTTCTTTCTTTCTTCTTTTCTTTCTTTCTTCTTTTCTTTCTTTCTTTCTT